CCCCCCCCCACCTAAATGTCTGAAAGGAATTCTACAATAGCTGTCTGTAACTGAGTCTATGAGGCAGGCCTGGGAAGAATTACTGGCGCCATCTCCTTGATCCTCCTCATAACCCAGTTTGTCATTAATCCCATTTTGTAGGTGAGAAAAGTGAGTCCCTGAGTGGGAAACTGAGCTGCTCAAACTACCGCTGGGGCTCACTCCAGGTCTGTCTGACTCCTGCGTGCTCTCTCGACCCCGCTACAGAGCCTGCACCCGAGAGCATGGCCAAAGAGGAACTGCTGCCTAGAGAAAACCTCATGGAATCAGGACCGTGGACGAGTGGAGTATCCCCAAATCAAAACTAGTCATAGAGTAAGATTTCACGACTCCCTCCCCCTCCCCGCTGTCCAGAACGGTGTCGCTCACTTCCGAATTTCTTTACCAAGAGGCCCCGTATGTTAGACACAAAGAAAAAGAATGTGCCAAGATGCAGTCACAGACAGGGATAATTGATGGAGAACGTCCTAAGAAGAGGGAGCAAAGAGCCTGGAATGTTGGACACCTGCCATATAGGACGGGCTGGGGAACGCAAAAGTGGGATTATTTCACCAGGTTGGTGGGAACGGCGCACCTAGCAAGAGGGCACCATTTCTAGGGTCAGGACCCCTGGGTGACCTTGTGGCCCCAGTGCTGATGGTAACGCATACGTGACCTTGCATAAATGCCTTCCTGTCTTGGACCTCAGTTTCTGCACTGCACAATGAAATGATTAGCCTTGGTGACCTCTAGGCTTCTCCCAGCTCTGCCCTCTGTTTCAGGGTTTGATGGGAGTTCTGGGTTGAGGGGCATGGTTTAGAAAAGGCCAAAGGGATTCTGGGGCAGCAGCTAAGAGCCCTGAAGTAAGACTAGGCTCGACTCCTGAAGCTTGAGCGACCATTCAGAGTAGAGTGGGGGGTGAGGGAGTGAGGGAGACAGGAAGAATTATCTAAGAGATAAAACTGCTGCTTGGTCTGTATTCTTATCACTGCTTATATCTAAAGGCGGCTTCCTAAGCAGCTGTGTGATCTTGAACACGTTTCTTCTCCACAGTGCTCCTCAGGCCCCCAGGAAGTGTTTGAGTAGTGCTTTATCATTAGCACCTAGTGGTGCTTTGGACCCAGTGACATCCTAGACCCTGTTATCTCCAAAGTAGGAGGATGATAAGAGGAAGAAAGCAGCATTCTCTTAGGAGTGGTATGAGAATTCCTCTTTGGGAGTGACCCTGTTTTTATGAGAGAGATGCCCCAATGAGACCCTTGGGATAAAGCGGAATCCTCCAGGGCTGGCTATCTGCTTCTGAGAAAGATGAAAGGGTCTCTGCCTGAGAGAGGATGTTAAATTCCTAGAGGAAGGGAGGTCAGGACAGGATTCTGAGGGAGAGGGTAAGGGGTGAGGAACAGAGCGGAGGTTGGGCGGAAGCCTGGACACTGCAGGTTGTGGGCACTCACCTCACGTCCCTATCTTCAGGAGAATCTAAAGAAATCAGAAGACGCTCGATGGTATTAGGTATCTTCTGCAAACTAGTGAATAGACTGAGCTGAAATGTGAAGTTAGACAGAAGTAGACAGTGGGCCTTTTAGAAAGATTTTTTTTTTTGGCCGTGTCCTGCGTCATGCGGCATCTTAGTTCCCCCACCTGGGATCGAACACACGCCCCCTGCAGTGGAAGCACGGAGTCTTAACTACTGGACCGCCAGGGAAGTCCCTAGAAAGATTTTTGTAGGATGAGCACATGCTTGCTTCAGAAGCCCACTCCAGAATTGATATCCAGGGCACCCCACATGGTTGAGGTGAGGCTGACGAGGTCATGGAAGTAACGTTGCAATTTTAGCCGTTTAATTAAACATTTATGGTTTCGATTTTGAAGTTTGTTTTTTTTTTTAAACTTGAGAGTAGTATTTTTTCCCTCATGCATGTCTGTAGGTTTGGTCTGTGCTTTTAGTGGTCATTTGATAAAGGACCTTGGCGGGAGTGATTCTAGAGCTGTGAGTTCGCAGGGCATTTTGTGTACACCTGGATTCTAAGGGGCAAGGGAGTTTGTGGTGCTACCTGCATTATAGCAGTTTTAGGGCCACACTCAGTGCTTCTCCTGGGTGGTGGCTGTTTGACTGAGGACACTAACCTCCAGGTCCTGAGAGGAGCATGGAGGGTGGATCGCATCTCCACAGCTCCCAGAACTAAGGCCTCCGTGGGACAAAGGGGTCAGGGGCCGAGAGGGTAGCCGCTGCCGGGATTCTCATAAGGGTGCCCCTTGGAGATGAGTATTTACTAAGCACTTTCTCTGGCCCTGGCATTTTGTACACACCATTTCTTTTAATTCCCAACATGACACTTCAACGTGGCTGCTCTTACAGCCATCTAACAAATGAGAGTACTGAGGCTCAAGGATGTGAAATTGCTTCCCTAAGATCAAACAGCTGGGGCAGAACCAGGAGTGGAATCCCAGTCTGTCTGACGAAAGCTCACATTCTTTTTGCCTAAATCACACTGCAGGGAAAGGAAAAACGGAGGGAGGAAAGGGAAGCAAACAAGAAATGTGGTAAAATTTTGTTTTGATCACCTCTTTATCTTCTGGCTTAAGAAGGGAGGCATCATTAACAAGCTCAAGAGAGAGGTAAGGGCTTCCCTGGTGGCGCAGTAGTTGGAGAGTCCGCCTGCCGATGCAGGGGACACGGGTTCATGCCCCGGTCCGGGAATATCCCACATGCCGCAGAGCGGCTGGGCCCGTGAGACATGGCCGCTGAGCCTGCGCGTCCGGAGCCTGTGCTCCGCAACGGGAGAGGCCACAACAGTGAGAAGCCCGCGTACCGCAAAAAAAAAGAGAGAGAGGTAAAAGGACCTCTGCCCAGTTTTTGCTGCCAGAAGATCCAAGCCAAAGCATCAAAACCTGGAATCTGAACATCAGATGATGCTGAGAACCAAGGTCATGGTATGCCAGTGGGTCCTGGTGGGTCAATGTGGCCACTGGCGAGATGCTGCCCTGTGTTTTCAAGGGAAGAGCAAAGTGGGTATCAACAACTATCAAAATAGCCGTCCTCCTGGGGCCATGTCTACATGGTAGGGTCACCCCCTCCACCAGAGTCCAGCAGAGGAGCAACGGCAGAAGGGCCTGAATCATTTTGATTAAGGATTATTATTAGCCGCAATGAGGGCTGTAATAATCAATGCTAATTTATACACCTCCCTTTCCCAAGGGCCTCTGATTGAGAGGTGAAGTGTGATTTCCTAGTCTGGAGTTATTAACAGGTCCCACTTCTGGGCAAATGGGGCCAAGGGAAGGGCTCAGGTAACCTGAAACATGGCGGGTTTACAGTTTCCACTGGTCTCTTCACCTCTCTCAGATCTCAATCTCTATAGCAGCTCAAATAAAATGATTTTACATTCAAATCTTCTTGGGTAAAAAAAAAAAAATGGGGGGACCTAAAGGATGTATCCCAGAAGTGTTTCCTGCTTTTCTTTTGGGGCAGTTTAGTGAGATTGCCGGGTCCTTCATTCATTTCTTAAAAGAAACATTTCTTATGGTATTACCTTCATCAATTTATCCAGCCACTCGGTCTATACACTTTATTGAGTCTTACTATGTGTAGTAATCTTTTGAAGTTCTATTATTTCCTTGAAAATCTGGGGACACTATTGACTTTCTCTAATCATCAAAATGCCTGAAACTCATGAATTTGCAATATGACATCTAAGCTGAAGGGGATTTACACACCTCCCTCCAAACCCCAACCCCCCACCCCACAGAAGTCCACTCATTCCCACTCTATAGAATGATGAACCCCAAGGTAGGACACCTGCTTAGTGAGATATCATTTGGGGTGTCTGATAAAGGGGCAATGTTTCCTCCGATAAACCAAGCAAAGGAGAGAGTCCTGGCACCTGTGAGAATTGAGTATAATGTCCAAATCCAATACGCAGCTAGAGGCCAAGAGCGTCTCGTCGTTCTGATAGTGCCGCTAACTTGCTCTGCGATTTTGTACAAGTTCCTTCCTTCCTCTCACTGGACCTCAGTTTCCCCATCTTTCCAATAATCAGTTATTCCTGACTAGTTTAAAGAGCCCTTTTAGTCTTGACAGTCTGGGTCGCCCAGGCCAGCCTCTCACTCATTTCCAACATAAGTCCACTTCTCCAGTTCGCCAGACTATGTCTTACTCACCCAAATACCCCCAGCACGCTGCCCACGAGATCCCTGTAAGCACTTTCCGCCCAGAACCACTCCTCTCTGAGCTAGCCCTTCCTAAGGAGAAGCAGTGGCCTTTGGAAAAAGACAGACCTGGGCCCCATGGTGGAGCCCCCCACTAACAGCATGATCTTGGACAAGTTCTTTCACCTCTCTGAGCCTGGATCGCCTCCTCTGTGAAAACCAGAACAGTAATAATACTTACCTCCTAGGCTTACTGGGCCCTAAACCTACCCAGTGAACTAGTCACATCAGTTCCAAATGTTACTTTCTTAGAATCTTTTCCTTCCTTCTACCCTCCTTCCCTTCCTTCTACCCTCCTTCCCTTCCTTCTTGTCTCTTTCCTCTTTTGCAAGATTTGAAAGATCTTACAGATGCCATACGTATCCATACTCCACTTTCCCTTCAGCTGCGCAGCAAGGCAGTCTACATAAATACAGTGGGCAGAAAGGAATCAGAAGCACAGATAAAACCCTGTCCACTCCTTGGTGTTTGAGCCCCAGCTGGAGGACCTGGGAGCAGCCTCTAGGCCTCCCACAGGAAGGGCGGTACCTTTCAGCTGCGCTGGGTGGCGGCATTGGAAGGAGCATGTGCTGCCGAACGTGGTGCCCTCAAGGCAGGAGAACGAGGCAGCGTAGACGTGGTGCTGGTCCGGGACGCCGCAGTCCACTGGCTCACACACCACCTGCTTGTTCCACTTGCCCTCCGTGCAGGTCACCGTGACACTGGGTCCTGTCTGAAAGGCGGGGGGCGGGCACAGTGAGGAACGGCAGATGGGACCCCCAAAACGTGGCGAAACCCCCTTCTCCCCCAGGCTACGGCGCAGGCTCTTGCCAGGCGCCCAGAGATCAATGTTTAGCGTTTAACTCTAGCTCCCTTTCCACGATCCCAACAACTCTTTGAAACAGGTGTTTCAGTTCCCACTTTACAGCTGCAGAAACTGAGGCTGAGAGACATTAAGGGATTAGCTCCAAGTTACAGAGCTGGAAAAAGGATGAGTGGGAATTGAGCCCAGGCTCTTCACTGCTGTCTGGAGAGTCTCTCAGATCATTATTTCCATTCTGTTGCTGAGAATCTTAAGACTCAGACCTCTCGGGGCCTGACGACTTCTTTCACGAAATAGCCTCTGAAACACGGCACAGCAGCGGGACACTGGCTGTTGATCTTCGTATCTTTTCTTGGCCCTGGAGGAGACTGTGTGTTTCATCCTCCAGTGCTTGGCACAGCGTGGGCATCGCCAGGGGAGAATGGAGAGCTGGATTTGGTCCTTTGTGCTATGAGATCGTGGGCAGGTCCCTTTCCTCGAGTTGTCCCTTTGGCGCTGGACCCAAGGACTGCTCTAAGAGCCACTCCCTACTCTGAGATGTGATGGTTCAATAGCTGGGAGAGGTAGACGTGAAGAAGGAACGAGCCTGGGAAAATGAAAGGGTCGACGGGGATTTGACTCAAACTAGAAGATGGCAGGGCTAGGGCTGGAAGGGCGAGGCCACGCTACAGAGCCAAGGGAGGGACCGGCGTCGGCAGCCGGCACCACGGAGGCCTCCTTTCAAGGAGGGAGCTGCCAAATCCCAGGGGATCGGGGATGCCAAACGTTGAGTTGGGATTTTAAAAGCATAGGACAGGGCTTCCCTGGTGGCGCAGTGCTTGAGAGTCCGCCTGCCGATGCAGGAGACGCGGGTTCGTGCCCCGTTTCGGGAGGATCCCACATGCCGCGGAGCGGCTGGGCCCGTGAGCCATGGCCGCTGAGCCTGCGCGTCCGGAGCCTGTGCTCCGCAAATGGGAGAGGCCACGACAGTGAGAGGCCCGCATAACGCAAGAAAAAAAAA